CTGCTAAGCTACCTGAAAACTCAGTGCCTATTTAACACTGTCCGTGCATCCGCAACCGACGAGATAACTAACACGACCAATTTAGTTAACTTTACGAAAACCTCTACTTTTATTCAAAATCTTAGTGGTTTTATAGAAAAGCTTGTAAGAGTGTGAAATTTTATGAGAAGGAAATAAAATATAAAACTTAACTGTACTGTGTAAAATAACTTATTAATCAGTCCTATCCATACTAATATTATAAATGCGAAAGTAGCTCTGTCTGTCTGGCTTGCTTTCACGGCAAAACTACTGAACCGATTTAAATGAAATTTGGTACACAGATAGTCCAGAGCCTGAGAAAGGACATTTTTTTTTAATTAGAAAAAGGGTTATAAAGGATTCTTAAAGGGGAAAGATATTTATATAAGGGCTTCAACGCGAGCGAAGCCGCGGGCTAAAAGCTAGTAATAAATAAGAATCCATTTTTGATGCTTTGTCATACTTTCCCACAGCAACGGAGCAATGAGTCATTTAAATGATCTCGTTTACTTAAATATACCTATATTTTATTCCGGGAAAATGCACCATTTCAAATATATGTCAATACTGCAACAACCTATGTAACATAAAGTTCGGAGAATATAAACATATTGGACAGAGGACGTTGTTGGACTGTACTGTAACTTTCTAAAATCTTCAAGGTGCAACACTTGAGAAGTTTAGAAACGCATTGACATAACATTGTATAGGAAAACTTACGTAAAATACAAACATTGACTACTACGACTATTACGAATGCCAAAAGTCATACGGTTATTAGTCTGCTTGTGCATACCTTATACATGCATGTTTTTTTATGTTACGGTCTTTCTCCATCTTTTAATAGTAAAGAAAAAAAGTAAATATCCGGTGCCTATTTACATTTTTTTTTAGTCTAAAATTTCAAAAAATAGTAAAGAAATATATAATAAATATATAAATAATAAGCAGTTACAGTTTTTATAGTTTTTGTAAGCTAGACCATTAGGCAACAATAAAACGAAACAATTAATAAATTTTCTGACCTAATTATCGACTCAATGTAATGCAATGCACTTGACATTGCTGAATTTTATGCAGTCTTATCCAGAATTTCTCTGCCTTCCGGCACCAGTGGAAACCTAAGTAAATACATCCCTTTTTGTGACAATAATGACGTACACCAAGTTTCAGAAAGTTGATGGATGGACGTAGTTCCGGACCGTGACGTTTAGTGATGTTTGTGGGAGGTTTATGCTCAGCAGTGAACTTTAAAGACTTTAATATTCTTATTCTATTAGACTTAAATTAAAATATTGGTGTTTGGTTATGTGCTAACTCCGGTGTTGTAGGAAGATAACTCAAACGGTAAACGATTATTCCAACAAATAGTAAAAGATATCTGATAAAAGGTCTCTGATATTTTGTCCACAAACAGTAAAAGGTCTCTAATATTTTGTCCACAAGGAGAAGACAATGGTGTATGGGAGCCCCACTTAAATGTTTTTTTAGTATTTGTTGTTATAGCGGCAATAGAAATACATCATCTGTGAAAATTTCAACTATTTACTTATCATGGTTCATGCGATACAGCCTGGCGACAGACGGGACAGAAAGTGGAAGTGGAGTCTTAATAATAGGATCCCATTTTATCCTTCGGGTGCGGAACCCTAAAAACTGGTGAATTAGCCTCAAACACGTCACAAACAGTCGCTAAAAATTGTGGGCCGAATTTGTTTTTGCACGACTGAAAACAATCTGCGGACCTACCGAGCGGAAGTACCGCAAATACAAACAATCAATCGGACAATCGTCTTTCGATTCGTCGTAGTCCTTGATGCTGCCACGTACACGTTTTAATTCTGCCACCCACGTTGTACCCGACTGCCGAAGTAAGATAATGATTTACGAGCGTTTGTGTGTATGTTTGTATGTCCAATTCTTTGGCACGCTCTGCAACGTCCCTTTTGACATATTTGAACATATGAGGGATTGTTCGTTGAACATTAGATTCGTGTCAGTTGTGAATAACATAGGGCGTATTATTTAAATTTGATATCAGCAAAAAAATACAGGAGTAGCTATCGTTTTCCAGTTTTTTGTATATTTTAAGAATTTTCGTATAAACTATTCTAGGATTGTGAACAAAACTCTACATGAATAATTACAGATTTAAATATCGATATCATATGCTCTTTAGAACTGACAATCGTTTACATTTTTGAAGTAGATAAATGTTTTGTCTGTTAATCAAAAAAATGTAGTGCAAAATTAATAATAAATGTATTGTTTCAGCACAAAATTTATCAGTATATGCAGATTATTTTATTTATTAGTAAGAACTGCTGCAGTAGCTTTAGATAGGCAAATAAATATCGTACTAGATGCCAAAATAAGATACTAGTTTGACAAGTAAATTACTTCTTACCACGTTATTTTTTAAAGGGATATCATTGACATAAGGGTTTTATTATTATGTTTGCAGTACTTGGAAACATACAACAAAATATGCTGCATAAGCTTAATATATACAGCGTAAAAAATTATTTGAATATTTATTTCTTATATTACCTTATATCAACTTCATTTGCCAAATTTGCGTCTACCTTTAAAAAGCATCTAGGACCATTTTACCTACTCTAAGGATGTCTTTAACATAAAGGATTTTTAAATGATTCTGTTAAACATATAGTTCATGTTTTATAAAGGCACTTCATTTAAAGGTTTAGGATTTTATCTCGTATTAAACTTTTGCGTATTCCAATTCGTAATGATACGTTCTTATGTTAAATGTGTAACTTAGGAATTCCGAAAACGTTTTCAATCCCTTTCCGGATGATATATATTCCAACACTGAAATCCTTTAAACGCACACCCGTACGCCTAAAATATATTTTATTACAGTTACGTTTCCTTTAACCGTAGTAATTTATGTCCAGGATTATATTTATATGATACGCTACTTGAAAAGAAAATTTTGTGACTAAATTTATCTTTATTTTTTCGTATATACTTGCAGCAAAGTAATAATAAAATTTTGCAATTGTGAAAACAGGACTCATAAATCATCTCGAATGCAGTAAAAACTGATTATAAAACTATAACAATATAACAGTAATCGCATTAATACAAAATATATTCAAAACACATTATTGCGATGTTTAAGACGTCACATTTGAAATGGAATTTGTCTCGAATTACAGAGGCTCCTTAGTTTTTTAATAAAATGGATCTCCTGTGCCCGTCTCGTTTGGTTCTGGCGTACCCGGTGTTGTGGTAGATGTGGAAGATGTAACAGTTGTAGTTGATAATGTTGTAGATGACGTCGAAGGAGACGTCGACATTTGTTGTCGTTGTTGTTGTTGATGGTACAACTGGGGTTTCAGTTATAGGCGTAGTAACTGTAGTGCTGTGAAACGCCGCATCAGTGGTAAGCGGTAAACTCGTCGTTTCAGTTACAGGCGTAGTAACTGTAGTGCTGTGAAAGGCCGCATCGGTGGTAAGCGGTAAACTCGTCGTTTCAGTTATAGGCGTAGTAACTGTAGTGCTGTGAAACGCCGCATCAGTGGTAAACGGCAAACTCATCGTGACTAAGTCTGAATTTAGTTTCAAGATTTCAGTTGCATTAGCACTTACAGTACTATGGGTCAGGGGAATGTTTGAAGTAGGGATGTGCTCTGTTTCGACATCAAATGTTTTCGCTAACGTTACACTGTCGTTAATACTGTTTTCAGTTACGGCGAAATTTGTTGTTTTAGCATAAATAGTTACCGTAGTCGAAGATTTTATTGTGCTTCTTTCTGTAGTGAATATTTTATCCTTACTAGTTATTGCAAGATTGTGTTTAGATGCAGTAGTTAGCTTTTTTGTTTTTATCATTTTCAAATGTTGTAGTTGACTTTTCGAATATTTTACGTGATCCCTTGGCGTTGGAGTAAAATTCCCCTTTAAGGCACGCATTTCTATGATTCTCTTGATGACGCTTAGTGGCACCCAATGGCCAGGTAGTCCAGCTTCGATTGGATTGTTCACATATACGACCTGTTCTTTCGAAGGGTCCGGCCACATTAAGCATAACATGAAGTTAGAGTAACATACAACCTGTACTATACTAATAAAAATACGCACTGCAAAAAATATGACAAATGAGATATGGAAAAAATTCAATTCGATTTTAAACAAAGTTAATAAGTTATAGACGCAATATTGCTAGCACTTACTTTCAAGTACTCGAGCCGAAATATCATTTTTACGCTTTCCGAACCGCCAAACCTATGGCCAACAAATAGGTCGCTACATCGATGGAAATAAAACAAGAACGATCTTTGGTATGGGGAGAAATTTACTTCAAAGAATTTTTGCGTTCAATCAGGCATGAAAATCAATTTTACTGTCGAATGACTTTATGATGAAACATTAAAGAAAATATAATAAGGCTAAGTAAGGAATACGTTGAGCCTATTTTACAAGCGAATCTAACATATATAATTATGTAAATAAGTAGATATGATCGTACTTATACAGATCGTACAGACAGTTTTGAGAAAGTCAACCCAGGAAAGGTGTTGCTCAACTTGCCTTCTTCCCTGGGCTGACTCTAGTCTAGGGATTCAGAACGAATCACTTGTAAAGTGCGAAACCCTATTTAGGTCTTTTTGTGAGACCCTTTCTCTTTTCAATAAGCCCGCAACATACTAGCTTAAATAAAATTTAGCAATAGTACGTAACAAAGAGCAATGTGTGTCAGTACTTCTCGAGTAAAAGTAAGCGCATAAACGGACAAACGAAAGAGAAACATATTTCATAATATGTATTTTTTAATAAAGTATACGAAAACTTTATCTCATTACGGAGTAAAGACTAAGAGTAACTCGTCTAATAAAAACATAATTCGATAAATAAATAATATGATGGAAGAAATAATAACAAAAACATAAAATTATTATTTATTTTATATGGTTAACAGACTAATTATAAGCTTACTAAATCACTTGAAATCATTTATCCCACTTTTTGGTGACATCTATGTATTCGCCGTCGGGTGAATCGTAATTCTTTATGGGAGGCGTGGCAACTGGACCGCTTATTGAGTAAGGAATCAGTTGCAGATCGGGCTGTAATAAAAAAAAAACGTTAATAAAACATCGCATTAACGATATAAATGCAAAAGTTTGGTTTTTTAATACCTGACCGATAGCTTGGTCCATATCGGTCTCTTCTCTTGTGATGGATGTTATAGTTTCATTACGGAGACTGTACAAAGCGGCGAAGAATACGTGGAAAAGCGAATTTCGACAAATTTAAGACCCCACGTAATAATTTTACACGCCGCACTCACATCACAGTCCGGCTCAGTCTAAGGCCTGCGGTGTAAGTCCGGCACGAGAGTCCGCTCCGACTGATGAACAGGTATGGACCTGTCCACCATATGGCTACGTGTAGACAGCGACGACCACCCTGGCGTCTATGCGTGCCTTTATAGGTCCCATAGCGGCAATACCGAAACAGACTGACTCATCAACCACGTCCAAATGGGTACAGATTATGTGCTCCAACAGATCCCAACCGCAGAGATCGTGATCCTTGGTGATTTTAACGCCCACCACGTCGAGTGGCTCGGGTCACATATTACCGATCATGCGGGGAGGTCTGTACACGACTTTGCCATTGCGGATGATTTGACTGTACTTTGACTTGCGAATATTTGAACTGGTCTCTATGCCTACGTGGATCCCAGATGTGTTAAATCTCTGTTGGACCTTCTGCTAACCACTCATCCGGACCTCTACCAGGTTTCTGTCGATGCCCCCCTTGGTTCATCAGACCACTGTGTGGTGCAGCGCGCAGTGCCCATCACGCGCAGTACGCCTACGCGTTGTATGAGTTTTCGTCGTGTGTGGCATTATAGGTCAGCAGATTGGGATGGGATGCGGTCCTTCTTTGCATCTTATCCCTGGGGCAAGGTTTACTTCTTGCTAGATGATGCCAGCGCCATCGCTGATTCTGTCGCCGGTGCTTCAGGGAATGGAACTTTTTATCCCATTCTCTACGGTTCCCATTGGTGGCAGATCCAATCCCTGGTTTCGTCGCTCCTGCAAAGAGGCATCTCGCCATAAGCAGGCGAGTTATCAGGCCTGGACCGTTGCGGTAGCCTCTAGGGATGTAAATATCAGTCACCTTAAAAAGAAGGAACTTTGCCTCTAGGTCCTCCAAAAGAGCAACCGCATCAGCAAAGTCAGAGCACATTGGCAAAATTGGCGAGAGATTAGTTAACCTTCCTTCGGGGACTCGTGCATTCTGGTCTCTCGCCAAGGCTGGCCAAGGAAACTTCTGTACGTCATCTTTTCCATCTATGCACCGGGAAGATGATTCGTTCGTTACGTTGATTCGTTTATTTGTATAAGAGATTATTGATTGATTGCTGGCCCACGCCGCTGAAGAGAAAGCCAAGCTTTTGGGCACCCTCTCCGCGTCTAACTCGATACTGGATGATAGGGAGACAACAACGCCGACCATCCCGCGGTGTGAGCACACAATGCCAGAAATAAGGTTTGTGCAGAGCACAGTGTGTAAAGCTCGCTTCTACTTAGACATCTAAAAGTCGAGCGGGCCAGACGGAATACCTCCCATTGTGTTAAGGATGTGTGCTCCAGAGTTGGTACCGGTTCTAACGCGTCTTTTCCGGCACTCATTAAACACCTCAATATATAAATCACCTAGGCATTATCCCAACTTCTTGGAAGATGACTTTAGTGCAACCGATCCCCAAAAAAGGTGATCGATCAAATCCGTCTAACTATAGGCATATTGCCCTCACCTCTTTGTTCTCTAAAATAATGGAGTCCATTATAAACTGTCAGCTCCTTAGGTACCTTGAGGACCACCAGCTCATTAACGATCGTCAGTACGGTTTTCGACGCGGTCGCTCAGCTGGTGACCTTCTAGTGTACCTAACGCACCGATAGGCGGAGAGAGTTGAGGCAAAGGCCTCACGCTTTGGCGGTTAGTTTGGATGTAGCGAAAGCCTTCGATGGGATTTGACACAGAGCACTTCTCTTTAAGATTATATCTTACGGGCTTCCTGATGAATTGTGCGACTGGATCACCAGTTTTCTTACTCGTCGGAGCATTAAGGACGTTCTTGACGGTGCATGCTCCGACGCTGAATTCGTGAACACTGGTGTCTGGGGCTGGGTCTTGTCCCCTACGTTGTTCCTCCTGCATATCTCTGGCATATTTGCAACATCCATTACTATGCGGATGACACTACGGGTGACGCATTATATACCGGCCGGGCAAATATTTCTTAGGAGTACGTCGAAGAGTGCCGGAATAAACTTGTGTCTGAAGTCGAGGTTTTCTTATGCAAAATCTCGGATTGGAACCGACTAAATTTAATCCAATTTAACCCCATGAAGACACAGGTTTGCGCGTTTACCGCGAAGAGGAAACCCTTCGTCGTATTTCCCTCCTTTGAAGGCACTCCCCTTGTTGCCACCGATTCGATCGGAATTCTTGGGGTCGATATATCGAGCAACGTACAATTTCGTGGTCATTTAGAAGGAAAAGCCAAGCTGGTTTCTAAAAAACTCGGTATCCTAAACCGAGCGAGACAGTATTCCCTACCGGCACATCGTTTGCAGCTTTATAAAGCACAGATTCGGCCGCACATGGAATACTGTTCTCACCTCTGGGCTGGCGCACAGAAATCGTTCTATTTGACCGCATCCAACGAAGAGCTGAATCATCGACGACCAAATCCTGTCCGATCGCCTCGAATCTTTGGCCCTGCGAAGGGATGTTGCATCCCTTTGCATTTTCTATCGAATACATCATGGGGAGTGATCTGAGGAATTGTTTGGGTTGATAGGTGCTGGTGAATTTCACCATCGTACAACTGGTCAAACCGCCAAGTACCATCGACACCACCTTCAAGAAGAGAGCCTATTCCTACTTAAAAGGCCGGCAACGCAATTGCGACTCAACCGATGTTGCAAATGTCCATGGGCGAGGTGATCACTTGCCATCAGGTGACCCGCATGATCGCTTGCCTACTTTTCCAATAAAAAAAAAATTTTACAACACTGACGTGTTGCGGATGCGTTGCTAAACATTAAAAATGTGGGACAAGGTAACCATCATTTATCAGGCGAATCGCGAAAGTACAATATTTACACTTCATGTCGGTCTTCTGCAAGTCTACTGTACTTCCCCGGATGACCCTGCCCATTCTTGCAACGGCAAAAGCTGCTACTTGGCCCTAATAAAGTTGCACCTCCAGCACCCAGAACACATTCCCCATGGGACTTTGGAAATATGTAGTATCTATTTCTTCTCTTCTACATTCTTATTTGAAATAGTGATTTTTTTCTTACAATTACCGCACATTACATTAAAGGATTTTACTTAATTACTAATAAAATTATTTCAAGGATTTCAATGAAGTTTTAAAAATTGTTGCAAACAATTTAGCATTCAGGGTTAAACATATTTTATATATTCTGCTCTATTGGAAACTTTGTGGTTTATCACATAATGCTAAAGCAAATATTTAGGATAATTATTGTGGCTACAAGTTGCATAGTCTTTCTTATTGATGTTTCAAAAAATACTTTCATTTCATTCAATAACTTTTTCTTCATTTTTTAATCTATCTATGAAAATAGTAATCAAAACAATGTCTTAAAATGGTTCATTTATGTTATAAACTTTAATATTTAGGATTTACATTAAACAAGAACCAATAGTGACAATAAACATTTCGTAATATCAAATTGAATGTATGATTATAATTATATTACACATGAATATTAATACAAATCATATGGTAATGCTGTTTCAATAAAATTGTAGTTAAGTGTGGACAACTAATTAATGCTGTCATTTTCATAATGAGATGCATTCAAAAACCATGTGCAAATTTTATATTGCATTATCTGAATAAATGATTATTTCCATAGCAGAAATAGTAAGTAAATTATAATTATAACAACAGTTCATTCTATCAACAATGTCAAATTAATGTGACAGTAATTGATGAGAAGAAGGAAAAACAGAAAAATTACAACCAAGTAAAAAAGAATAAAGGTGATGCAAAAAAATTATATTTTTAAAATATAATAGTTAGTAGTTACAACAAGTTTATTTTGCCTCAAATTTTGAAAATTTATATTTTAATTAATAAATATTTAATTTCAAAAGCAAAAGTTTTTAATTGTGGTCCCGGTCTGAGCAGATTTAAATGGGGTCTACTATCACCACTCCAAAGCCCAGAAGTCATTTTGCAGTCTCATCCACAATAGGCCATTTCAAAATAAGGTTTATAATAAAGTTCTTACCATTCAAAACAAGAACAGTTAAAGTAGTAATTTTTTTTATGTGAAAAGTTGCCAAGCAAGCAGGCGGTCCACCTGATATTAAGTGTATACCGCTACCTATGGACATGTGCCACACCTGAGGGTTGCAGATGCGTTGACAGCCTTTTGAAAATTGGGCTCTGGCTACCTCATTCGCCAGACGAAATGCGAGATATTATACTTCCACTTGACGCCGATCTTCTGTGAGGTTGTGGTACATACCTGGACGAGCCTGCCCATTCATGCAATAGCCGAATTAACAAAGAGATTTCTTTACACTTACCATAACTGCTTCATTATACAAATCTTCTGATTGTTCATACAACTTATCAAGGGCACGCCTTTGAGCTGCCATGATACGATCAATTTGCGCAATATTCGCTATATACTCTGAATGTTTATAGCGGCTCCACTCCTTTTGCATTATGGCACGTGCTTCAACTTCCTGAGCCGAAAGTTGAACAGGTGGTCTCTTCCGTTTTCTGAAATAAGATTAAATTCTGTTTTAATAACATGACATAATATTAAGTGTCTACTCAATTGGATGTCAAATTACAATTTGTGGCTATGGATTCATTACCACATGTACAATAGTTGATGCAAAAGTTTATTTTAAAATTATAAATCTTCTTAACTACTTAGAGACCAGTGGCATAAATAAAAGTACTTTACCCCATTTGATCTAAAAGATGCAACGGTATCTCACATTCATCAATAGGTTTTAATTGTCTTGCATTCTTTTGAAGCCTCCTAATTTGCTTTTCTAATTTTTTTCGTCTTCTTTCTTCTCGAGCTTTGACGATTGCTGGATCCATTTTTTTCTTTTTCTTCATAGGCTCCGCACTTTTTGTAAACAAAACTTGTAGTATTACATTGTAAAATAACCCAATAAACTGTAGTATGAAGTAAATTTGTATTCTAGTAATTCCGTTAATGATTATAAATTTCTCTTACCATAATTGATCTGTTATTTTGAAATTTAATGCCACTGCTGAAGTAAAAATATTTCTATTTACTCCTGTGACAGATTTTGATGATATAGATAATCTGAAACAATACGACTTATTTAATCTTAATTCGAGGTTATATAAATCACTGAAGCCATTACTTTACCTAGAAAATTGTTTTAAAATAGACACACTAAACATATTGATTATTTAAATATATTTTTTTATATATGGGTATTTATAAATCAATTTTTTTTTTCATTCATAACAATAACCTCAAATAAATTAAAAATACGAATATGACATATTTACACATAGTGCTGCCAGGGCTAAGGCCAGATCCATTCTTTAATATTCAGAAAGAAAGAGTAGAATATACTGCAATAATGATAAAAAAATAAGTAGGTTCAATATGACGATAATATTTTTATTTTATTAATTAATTTTTAATAAATCATATCATTTCTGTTCTTTTTTTTTTTTTTTTTATTTTTTAAGATGTAGAATGTTGCTCTAGGAATAAGTTTCTTTTATTTGGTCGCGTTATAGCGTCCCAAAACCGTTATATAAGGTTAATTACATATAAAATTACAAATATAATCTGATAAACCTAGTCCACTCGGTGTTTTGCCAAGAAACCTTAGAGTGAAAAAAGAACCAGTTCTCTTATCACCAGTCGCGGCGTTAAGCGACGTAACCCTTTCAAATAATTCGACGTATGGGGACCCCACAGACCAAAAGTTCCAACAGCAAATGGCACAAATACATAATCTAAACTAAGAGGCTCATATTTGCACCACTGCAGTCGAAGTAACCGACTGCCTCGATGCTACCCCGGCCCTGACCGAAGTACCCCTTAGATGAGAAGCAATCAAAGTGTCTACTACAAGTATCAGCTCCAACGAGGGCTTTGCCACTCTCCCATGGGATCAAAGTCAAGCCGTCGAGTCTCTTACCATCCTCGCGTAAAATGTCATAGAGCTCTAAAATAGATGTAACATTGATGTAACAGTAAAGTAAGAGCCCTACGGATGATGTCGTTCAGAGAACCGTGGCGGGAAAAGCAGCCAGGACTTTTTTGACAAGAATGAGCGATATTTGTCTATTGGCACTGGCAAATCGGTGCCCCCAGTCGAATTCCTACATCAATGCATAAGCTTTCATCGTCAAGTAATGTGCCAAAATTACTTGATGGTAAAGCATGAAGTGAAGCCAATTACTCGATCGTTTAAAAAACGGACACGCTCACATTCTAAAAATCTTAAAATTTAAACATATCTTCTGTACTCTCTGCATCAAAGGAATATCCCGCTGTTTTTGAAGGTTTAGTGCCAGTGGGATATGTTCGTCGGAGCAAATAGACAGCCAAGATATCCTGTTGTTTGAATTAGACTTCTTACAAATTCTTGAAACACAAGGTGCGAACTGAACTCACTTGGGAACTAATGAATATTATAAAACGACCTACTTTTTGTACTATTCATATGGAAAATACTGAAAGAAGACGTGGGTTCGATTCAGACAGCGACGATTAACTTTTCGTTCCTTTTTTCTACAAATTTTAATAAATAAAATACTATTAAAAAACCGGCCAAGTGCGAGTCGGACTCGCGCACGAAGGGTTCCTTATGTATAAAAACGACAAAAAAATCATGTCTGTTGTATAGAAGCCTTAAATGTTACCACCACTTAAATGTTTTATTATTCTGTTTTTTTAGTATTGATTGTGTACATCATGAGTCTTTGGTCAGGAAACTACACCACTATAGTATAAGAGATGCCTCACTCAAACTTCTGGCATCGTATCTGAGGCATCGAATTCAGAGAGTTGATGTGAATGGCAAGAGATCTCCTGGGGCCCTGGTAAGTATGGGGGCCCACAGAGATTTATTCTTAGGCCTTTTCTCTTCCTCATTGATATAAATGATCTGCCTTATCTCGTTGATCATGATAATAACATAGTATTGTTTGCTGATGATACTTCTTTAGTTTTTAAAGTAAATGGACAAATCACTATAGTACATTGGTGTAGTGCCAACAATTTACTATTGAAAAATAAAAAATCCAAATATATAAAGTAAAGTAAAGTAACAGCCTATACATGTCCCAGTGCTGGGCAAAGGCCTCCTCTATACAGAGGGTATTAGGGCATAGTCCACCACGCGGCCCCACTGCGGATTGGCGGACTTCACATATTTTCGAAAATATGCAGGTTTCCTCACTATGTTTTCCTTCACCGCGGAGCACGTGATAAGTCAGCACTTAAAGTTACAAAACTTCATTGGTGCCGGCACCGGGGATCGAACTCAGGTTGCTCGAGAATATTGTTAATTCAATAGGCGAGCGCCCGGACACTGAGCTATCACGGCTCTAGCGCCCGGACACTGAGCTCGGCTCCAAATATATAAAATTTTCAAATGGGAATTTACATGGGGAAGCACTTCACCCTGTTGACCCGACTGTATTCGTTGGCATACCTATAGATGCCAAACTGCAGTGGGGGCCCCATATCAATAAGCTGGCGAGTAGACTTAGCTCAGCAGCCTTCGCGGTTATAAAAATTAGACAGGTGACTAATGTAGATGCGGCTCGTTTAGTCTATTTTAGTGATTTCCACAGTATAATGTATAATTAATACTATCTTATATTTACTTACTAAGCTATATTAATACTATCTTTGTCCTCCAAAAGAGCGCTATTCGAGCAGTTTCTAAACTGGGCCCAAAAGAATCACTAAAAATTTTTTTCAAAGAGATTAAAAAATTGACTGTTGCGTCTCAGTAAATACTTGAAAATGTTATGTATGTCTATAAAAACAAAAATGAATTTTCAAGAAATGCGAATGTCCATGATATAAATACTAGGAACAAACTTAAATTAATTCAACCCACAACTAGACTTCGTAGAATAACTAATTATTTTATGGGACAATGTATACGTTTTTACAACAAAATCCCAAAAAACGTTCACAATATATCAATTTTTAAATTAAAAAAAATGTAAAGGAATGTTTATGTGTTAAAGGCTATTATAATATTAGTGATTATATAAATGATAACACACCCTGGAAAGAAGTGATCGCTCAGGGCTCTTTCAAGTTGACTTCAATAAATTTGTAAACATATCTTTATTAATGGTAAAAAAGGTCCCACTGAGTTTCTTTCGCCGATTCTTCTCAGGTCAGTGGCTTTTCTTTCCGAACCTTGACAATCAATCTGTAATTGTAATGCTTCTATATTGAATAAACGTGTTTGATTTAATTTGTTGTTTTAGCGGCAACAGAAATACATCAATAGAAAATTTCAACTGTCACGGTTCATGAGATATATGCCTGGTGACAGACGGATAGACAGAACAGACAGGGTCCCGTTTTACCCATTGCATACGGAACTCTAAAAAATACATTCAATTTACTAAAAAAAATAATTATACACCTTCGGGAAATCAAAAAATTCAACATATATCTATTTTGTCTCTTACAGATTTTTTTTTTTTCGGGATTATTATTATTATTATTGGGTGGAATGGAATAAAAATTGTTGCGTATTTGTCATTTATCTAGAGACGTGCAGAAAAGCTTATTGGTGACCGTAACTTGTTTAAAACCAACCTTACTAGCCTTGAGCACAGGCGCAGAGTAGCCAGCCTCTCGGTCTTCTACAGGATGCATTTTGGAGAGTGTGCGTTGGAGTTGCAAGATTTGGTTCCTTCTACCGCTTCCCCTTTCCATCATCGGACAACCAGGCGTTCGGCGAGACTCCACCCTTATGCTGTCGACGTTCCCAGAGCAAGAACCAAGCGATTTGCTTCGTCATTTATGATCTGTACAGCTAAGGAATGAAACAACCTGCCGGCGTCCGTCTTTCCGTCCGATTACAATGTAGGCGTCTTCAAGGCAAGAGTGAATAGGTTTTTACTGAGCTAGCGCGCTTACCATCAAAGGCTGCATCGCCATTTACCATCAGGTGGGCCGGCAGTCAAGTGCTGGCCAGCTCAAAATTAAAAATAAAATCAGTTGCATAATAAAAAATCAAACTTTTTTTGCTATTTATTAACAAATTCTACAATTGATAGAATTACAGTCCAGCATAGGTAAGTTACAATAAGATAAGGAATTAGTTCCCGTGCAAAAACTAAATGGCGTTTTTCTTCATAAATTGCGCTGAATACATATTTTCACAAGTTAATTAAGGGACAAGCGCCGACCATTTGCGAGATTTATACGATAGGTACGATTTCAATTTTGTTCGGTATACGGATATCCTTGATTTTGGTTTGCGATTTGGTTAGTTGTTAGGAACAGTAGACGATTTCTCTGTAGGCCGCGTAGTCGGCGGGCCAAATGTAGGGGGCTGCAAATTAGTGGGGTCTTTTAGTAGCGTTGCTTGCCTTTCGCCTTTCGCTTCTTTGCATAGGAAATATTCCATGAAAATTATGACAATCACAAGCGGGCCTGATAAGTAGATACCATTCGTCGGCGCCATAATATCATATACTAAATTACTTTGTTTCATTTTTTGTGCCTTCTAGCAAGTCTTTTCTCTTAATCTTTAATGAGCCTAGGGCCTACAAAAATGCCTCGATAGAATTAAACTAAATGAGAACGATTTGATCTCAACAATCGAATATAAACACGACTTAGTGCTGATTCATTATCTCGCACATTGGAGTCAGTTATAGGTTATAGACATTAAAGTAAAAAAGTAAACTGAGAGTGAATTTTTACTGAGCACCTATAGAGGCCGTTAACAGAACACTACAGTACATACACCGAGATGAAGGCCAATGGGGAACGTCACAGTTGTTTTCTCTGGAGATTTTCGAAACCCTTCCTCTCATTACTCAGGGGACTAAAGCGAAGAAATAAATGCCTCAAAAATATAAGTTGCAGTTGACAGTTAACGTGCGGACTCCGTTTACATGCCCAAAAATTTTCCGACGTTCTGTTAAAATTTGAGAAGAATTCCTTCCTTATTGGATATCCTTACAGAGAAAAATGGGCAGGTGTGTCAGCATTTGGAGAACTTTCAAGTGTTCAACTTGAAAGTTCTCCAAATACTGAACTTAAAGCCTAAACATAATCAAGAATTTTTCTGATATCAGGATAATTCTTGGATATATGAACGCATTATTCTCACTGCAAGCAATGACCAAGCCACAAATTAGCCGGCTGAGCTTTTAAGTTCGCTTACTGCAAGTGGCCTTTCTGCATATAAAATCCCGCGCAATGTCGGTGTAAAATTGTGCAATGGTGGATTCCATTTTCAACTTCATATAAACGTAACTTCTCTACAAAGGCACATAATTCAAGCTGAGATCGTCACTGGGTGTGGCTTAGACAAAATTGTGTTTATTTCGCGAATACCACTCGCTAGATCAGTGACCATTGCTCAGTTGTCAAGGCATTGCCTTCGGCGTGGGTTCGATTCTCACACGGGACAATTAGTTGTGTGACCCATAATAATTGTTTCCCAGAAGGCAAAACTATGAATGTGGTATTTAAAGTGATAATTTTATTGTACACTAGCTTTTCGCCCGCGGTTCGGCCCGTATGTACCACATTTTATGTCGTACTTAAAAAGAAGCCTTCCTCAATAAATTGGCTACGGCAGCGACTAGCTAAGATTAGACTTCAATTTTTTTTTTTTAATTTTATTTCACTTCACAACACAACACAACTCACACAGACAACAATTTTAACAACCATTGTTTTGGATTCTATTGCGTTCATAAAGGGGGATCTTTAATAATAGTTTTTCTCAAATATCTTCCATGTACAGACAAAAACAAGTTACATTTTTATTATAAATGTATAGATATCTGTCTGTATCTGTATCTGTCTGAATTTTTCGCTTTCACCCTATTCCATGCGGACGTAGTCGCGGACAACAGCTAGTACTTAAATATAGCCTGTAGCTAAAGGAAAAAGTCAGTTTCATTTCCTTTAGTAAATAACAGCTTACATAACTCATACGTATTATTTGTTAGACAAGTACTTCTTTTGTATTTTTTATAACCCTATAAACGAAGCGACTAAAATTTGTATTCAAACCGAGGCACTAAACCCATATCGTCAAAATAATTGGCAATAAGTCACTCGCTATGTAAACAGGCTAAAAATATGGCAGAGGCTTAGTATTTCTTTAACCCGCGTTATGGTTCTGTATATTGCTTACATACCTATTATTTTTACATTTAAAATTCAGTCTCTAAATATGTAATAATTGACATCTTTCAAGCAGTTTATATTAAAATCAAAACAAAACTTAAATACTTTTAGTAATATCCTTTTATTTTATTTTTTTTCTTGGAATATACAAACTGGAAATTTTGTGTTCACGTATTAAGTGGGTTCAATATCAGATTTTAATTAAACTTTTCTGGGTACTCATCAATCACTCAAAGTGAAGCTTTAATTAATTTCTTCTAAAATTGTTGAGTTTATGAAGACGTTTATAAAAAAATCAAGATTTTTCTTATATTTGGGATTCAGGTGTGTTGTGTCCGGGTTCAAGTGTAATATTGTAATAATTTGTCACCTCAATGTCTTTGTAAAAAGTTACATTTAGATTTATTACACAGGTTGTTTCGACGGTGCATATGATTCACTGCACGTATGATAATATTCAAAATAAAAATACAATATAGCGTGATAAATAACAATGATTGAAAAGAGAATCTTAAGAGATAGGAGTGATCATATTTTATAAGAACTATCAATAGATCCAGTTAGATCTATCTAGTCATTGTATCTCTTTTCTATATCTCTAGTCACTATTCCTAAATGCTCTATTGAAAACTTTTTGCAGTCGAATTAAACTGTTTCCACGTTTGATCATCATCATAAAGGATTTTATTACACCCAGTTATAATCCGAGATATAAACCTACGTTAATTGGTCATAAAGAGGGAAGTCCCTAGGAATATGTATGGGCTGTTTACAACCCGAATATTATAACATTGTATACCGTTTTATCGAGAAATAAAAATTAAAAAATCTCCATATTCAGTACAAACATTCATATAAATTATTTTAGTGCACACCGACCGAAATATTTCCTTATCTTTAACATCTAAATTATTTAAAAAAATAATGTATTGAATGCTAACGTGTAATTGGATTGGTCTGTAAAAAAGATAATATAATAAATCAAATTGAAAAAGATGAGCATTAAGAATTGCATTGGAATCATTTAAAATGTCATTAGATTTTATCAACATTGTTGAGCGTGCGATCTGTCATCGTGGGATTCCGATAGCCGTAGGGAACTATAAAAATGTAAATGGGCTCATTATAACAAACAAAACTCAACCATTTAGCGTTATCCTCAACATGCGGCAATGTTTGGCATCTTCTCATTCTTTGCTAAGAGCTGACGGTATTGACATGTGCCACGCGGGGAGTGCATACGCTCCTAATGATTTATTAAAGCGTTTCAAAACTTGATTTTCGTTTGTTTAATACGCGAGTGACGTCACAACAATGAATCCTAACGAACCAGCCTATCGGGACAGTGGCACGTTGTCGAATCTCATAAGTGCTAACATCACCGCTTTCACAAACGACAGTGAAGTGACCCAAAGGAACCTATTCGACCTTTACGAAGTGTACAGGAACAAGGAGAGGGAGCAACTAAGCGCGTACAGATCCGTCGCTTACGTGTTCGGCGCCGTGATATTTCTCAGCAACCTGACCGTTGTTGTATCTAGCGGTCTCATACTAAAAAAAGGTAATAAATTAGCCCGTCATGCATAATGACTTCGGTTTATCACAACACGTGAAATCACTTAAGAGAAGTAAAAAAAATATGACTTGTGATATAACTAAAAAATATTGACAAATTTTTCCTACTGTTAAAGAGTAGTGTTTGAAGTGAAACTTCTTTGCGCGCATGTGAATAGAATTTCAAGGTCGCGTCATGAGAAATCGTCACGAAAAACCGTCATACCCATGACACGAAAGAGATAGAAAATTGCTTAGAATAGCGATAGTTGTAAGAATTCAACGAGATAGAAGGAAATAAATGATTAATTTCGAATAAAAGTTTTATATACCTAAATATATCTATATAATATGATAAATTTATAACTCATTACGTTAAAAAGCTGTTTAATTATTGTTTTCTTTTTTTCATTATTGTATAAAAATCGTGCTTTGTGGTAGTCTGTGGAACCTATGTTCAAAAGTGAACTTGAACAGGCTGAAATGATAAATATTCCAAGAATAAGAATAAACGAATGAATTTAACATAGACACATAAGAAACCATGACACTTGGATAATAAGAAATAATTTAAAATCCAATTTTTTTCTATGAAGCTCTCATTCTCTGACCTTATTATCCTTCATTATTAATTTAGTAATGTTACAGATTCTTTCAAATATAAATAACTAATGTAGTTAGTACACTTTGTGCTTTATACACACGTCCTTTTATTTTATTAATCTGTTGTTAAATATCGTTATTATAGTAAAATTAATCCACATGTAATGGAAACTTTACGCGATATTACCTATCTTTACGAAAGCTGTCAAATAATACCAACATATTTACATAGGTAGAAAAACATCGTTCGCATTCGATTTTATATTAGCACCGTAACAGTTTATATTCAATGTGCCTACGATATCAAACAAAATAAATGCAAACTGAAAATCGCTTAATGCGTGGCATAATTACCAGTTTAATTAGATAATTGGCAATAACGTTTCCAGTTCCAGCTTGCATATGCATGCGGACATACGGTTAAAATCCTTTATACGTGCCAAATGCCTGTGAACATTTTTAGAAACTTCCTGAAAAAGCTTTGTTCGATTCTCATTTATATTTTAATATGTTGAAAGACATCTTCCACATAAATCTCTCGGCCGCTGAGGGTTAAACTTTGGAAAACACGTTATAGGCTATCGTTACAACTTGGACCATCACCGCCCAATCCACTAAAGTACATGTAATGTCACTTTGCAAACATAAGATTTCTTAAGTTTGTCTCATTAAGAGTTGTTACTAAAGTTTATATTTTTAAAAATATTTTTGAAGTTATACCTACTTCTTTTGGCCCGCACGGAAAAAATATGTATGACTAAAAATTTTTGCGATGCGCCCGATAGTCAAAAAGTGACATGACGACATTGGTTGCAAAGCGAACAACTTCACGGTATTACCATGGCAACTTTTTGACATTTATCTTTAATTACAAGTTACTTAATTAAGCCGTTATTGCATTTAATGGTTTTTCCGCTAACAAAGAGTACTAGAAGCACAGGGGATAAAATGCTTAGTTTTTTCTTTTGTTACGCTAAAGAAGTATAGGTACTTTCTTAAGTACGTACATATCATTTTTTAGGTTATTATACCTCAATCGCTTACATTTTTAAAGGCCCATTTACACGATGCCATTTTCTTGTACATACAAGAGCAATAATTGAATACAATAAATTGCGCGCAATAATTTGTTACACCATTTGTTGTTTAGACCATGCAACTCATTTATTGCTTCAATTTAATTGTATACAACAGATAAAAATTCAAATAGGGGTTAATTATTAAAACCATTTATCACAAAATAATGTTTTGTCGAAAATAATTATAGTTCTACAGTCCATCCTACAGAAATTATTTTGACTAACTGTAATTGTCTTTGATTACCGTACGTAAGTCGTCAACGTCGCGCTAAAACTGTCTCCAATTGCGTGATATGTGTGAGTACCGCTCGTCTACTTATTGTAAACTAACTGTCAAGGTGCGCGTGTTTAGGGCTGCCTGCTCTAAATTATTAGTTGAGGGTTTCTCCATTGTTTGATAAAGTTAAACAAAATAGTTTGAATGTAGAAAACATTTTGTAGATTAGTCGTTTTATTATACACTTTTATATATTTATTTTTGTATTAATTTATATTTCTATTGTATTGTTGTGTTTGTATATTATTGTAATTTTGTATATTATTATTTTTGTTTTGCACCTACGTCAAATTTTCACTACTCCCAGGGTTAACTGGAAGAGAATGCTTATTAGCATTAAGTTTGCCTTTTGTTTGGCCTTATTTTGGGCTGTAAACAAAATTTTTAAATAAATAAATACTTTAGTTACAACAACGAAATCTGACAACCAAAATTATAAGAAAGAACAAACAAAACACTATTTAGTGCAAGACGTCATGGGTTCCATTTATTTTTAGTAGGTGAGTTATCATTTACGGATTAAATAAATTATGTAATTTTTCAAATATTCATGTTCTGATTGAAAGATGATGTAATGATATTTGTATTTTGTCTCACATAGTTTCGCCAAAATTTTCTATTAATAAATTGTCATCACCGGCTAACTAGACTAACCTACGAACGAATTAAAAAATCGTGTTTTCTTAAATTAATAGTGGATAAATGGTAAAACGTACCGATGCAAATTGAGCTTGGAGTTATTATACGGATTTTACATATTGATAAAATTTCCATAAACCGGCATAATTAATTATTTTTCGTGAGCACGTTATCCATAAGTGGTTCAAATGACACTGACATCTGTGTAAAGTGAGTCTACCAATTTTAGTAGACTCTATTTGCGCCATTTGGTAAGGTCAAATGTGTCATCTAGACATGTTAATCAAAGATAATACTATAAAATTTTTGATTTAGGTACTATCTAAACAAACTGCTGGTGCTGTGGACGATGGAAAAATGTGTTTGAAAAAGTGGTTAACAAGTATGGATTTGCAAGTTCCTTAAAATTATATCCTACGATTAAGTATACAAATATAACTTGAAATGTACATAATTTCCCTAGCAAAAGTATTAAATAATGCGATGTTGTGATAAAAACCAATGTATTCCGCGTGAATAATGGGCGAGTTTGTTTATTCGGAACACACATAAAATTGCTAATGGAATAAGTAAACTAACCTACCTAACGCGCTCAGACCGATTACACGATGTGTAGTGCAGATGAAAAACAAACCTTTAGGTGCATAATACTAGAGTATGGTGCGTTCGTTCGCAAATACAAGCATTTGCGTTTAATCGACAAGTGACAACAATGAATCGCGGAAAATTGAGGGAAACGAAATATTAAACATCATATCTAATTACTTTCTGTGATATTAAATGTTTTTGTCAATAGTTGTTGTTAAATGACTAATGTCTACAATCTCGAAAGACTCATTGAAATACTTTCACGTGATGTAGTGTAGCAGTCACGTCTGTGTCAGTTTGAGACAACACCTAGGCCACAGAAATTAAATATTGTACATCAAAATATACAAGGCTTGGGTGGCAAAGAACCTGAAATAGAACTGTTCCTTAGAAAATTTAATATTCATGTCATCTGCTTCACAGAGACATGGTTACATAAGAATTGTAATATTGTAAATATAGAGAATTATAAAATGTTAAGTTCGTTCGTAAGAGTAAATGCTATACGCGGTGGCTCTCTTGTGTTAGTTAGAAATGATATAGTCTGTAAAAATCGACAGGATATAATGGCACTCTCTGTCGAACGTTCTATAGAATTATCCTGCGTTGAGAGTCAACAGTATATTATAGTATGCGTGTATCGACCCCCCTCCGGTGATTTCGACCAGTTTGAGTGTGTCATGGATGATGTCCTTAAGAGACTGTGTTTAACTAGTAAATCAGTCATAGTTTGTGGAGATTTTAATGTGGATTTATTACAAGTAACACAACTTAGTAAGCGGCTTTTAAATTTATTTAATTCATTCAAACTTAAAAATCTTTTTTATGAACCAACTCGTGTTACTAACTTATCCTCCACATGTATCGATAACGTTTTCTGTCACAATGAAGTATATGACAAATCTATTATAAATTATCTGAGCTCTGATCATCTTGGTTTAAAATTTTCAATAAATGAAAACATTACTACAAGTGAAATTAAGATCAGGTGTAGACCAATCACTGCTAGGAGACTAAATTCTTTTAAAGATAAAGTAGCACAGCATGTATTCCATAAAGATATCGGAGTCAATAACCCTAATGATTGTTATAGATCAATGGTTGATTTTCTCATAACTTCCTATAATCATATTTTTAAACCCCGCACAATTGTTAAAAAATCAAAATTAAAATTTAGTGACTGGGCAACAGTGGGTATATATAAAAGTAGGGATTCACTGTATGAATTATATAATATGAGGCAGTGGAATCACGACCCTAATTTCCATAAACGGGTACAAAATTTTTCAAAAATATTTAAAAAAGTCTGTATACATGCAAAATCTATCTACATAAGAAATAGGATTTTAAATTCTAGTAATAAAATAAAAGCTACATGGGACATCATTACCTGTATATCTGGAAGACCCAAGAAATTCAGGGAACCTATAAAGCTAGTGATAGGCAAAACACCCATAACTTCAGATAACGAAATTGCAAGTAGTTTTGAAAGTTATTTTTCAGAAATTGCAATTAATGTTACATGCACGTTAAAATCCTCTCCCATTGATGCAATTAATGTATTAAAAAATAATGTTACCTATTGTCGACAAACGTTTAAATTTAATCACATAGATACTAATGATATTATAAAAGTTTTGAATTCTATTAATCTTAAAAATACAGGAGATTTGTGGGGCATGTCCATAAAATTAATGAGTACAATAATGCCGTATATTGCACCATATTTGGCAAATATTTTTAACAAATGTATAGATTCTGGAATATTTCCAGATCTTATGAAAATCAGTAAGATAATCCCCGTTTTCAAAAGTGGGGATA